GTGAGGATGCTGCTCATATTCACTGCCACACAGTGAGACCCCCACTCTTGAATATACATCCCCAGCACCCTTAACTGAAAAAGACAAGGAGAAACTAGAAAAGGTCCAAAGATATGCAACGAGACTCGTTCTGGAGCCAAGGGGACTGAACGGTGAGGAAAGAGTGAGAGAAATGGGCTTTACCACTGGAGGAAAGGAGAGTTAGAGGGGACATGATAACAACATTTAAGATTCTGATGGAAATTGACCAAATAGAGAATGCACCGTTGTTCAAAGCTAGGAACAGCAAAACGAGGGGTTATGGATGGAAACTAGAGACGCAAATCAGTAATAAGAGACGTCAGAAAAAACTGTTTTCATTGTCAGTGCTGTTAATAAGTGGAATATATCAGACGTAGAAGCCATTGAACCTAATTCGATTCAAAGTTTAAATGTAAATAAGATAAAAGCGTGATAAATGAGTCAGTGCATAAAACTAAAAACGTTTAGAAGGCGGGGCTAGGAGCCCTGTTTGACCCTGCAAATACATGTGTGTAAGTACATCAAGGTGAGTACAGGTCAGGGGACAAGCAGAAGACAATGGGTATAAAAACACTGACATATATTACAGTCTACTACATCATATATTATATATATTTTTATTTATTTATTTACTATTTTCTAAATGCTGCTTTCTATTGTTCTTCTCCCCCATCTCTCAATCCTTTCTTCCGTATCTCATTCCCTACAATTCTTACTAACTATCTTTCTCACTCCTTCCATATATTCTTCACTTCCTCCCTCCCTGCCTTCATACTTTCCTCTCTCTCTCTCTCTCTCTCTCCCACCCCCTCCTCATTCCCTTCCTACTTCCATCTCTCTCTCCCTCCCTCCCTACATCCATATCATCATACTGATCACTCTTTTTTCCTCTCCCTCCCTTATAATTTTTATTCATGTTTTCTATCCCTCTCTCTGTATCATGCAAGCTTCCTTCACTACCCTCATTGAAGTATCCATCAGGGTATAGTTACCGTCCTTCTCCCTACCATTAATTTCCATCACCATATACCTCCCTCCCCACCCGTGTAATATCTCTATATCTCCTCTCTTTATAGTCCTCATCGCAGTGTGTTACCCTTCATATAATGTTTTTCCTCCACGTCTCTGTTTAGGTCCAAAACTTTAAACATATACCTGCAAATTCCTCTTCAATTCGCCTCCCTTCCAACCTACAATTTCAATCACAATAAACCTCCTTCTGATCAACCTGCATTCACCCTTTCAATCCATACCAATAAGAAAATGATGTCTACTATCACCTTTTCCCCTTCCTTTGTCCCTTCCTCCCATCGTTATCTCCTCCTCCCATTCCCTTTCCCACTAATGTATCAGTAATATATTCCGCACCCTGTCTGTCTCTCTCTCTGCCTCTCTGTATGTCTCTCTCTCTCTCTCTCTCTGGCTCTCTGTCTCTCTCTCTCTCTCTCTCTCTCTCTCTCTCTCTCTCTCTCTCTCTCTCTCTCTCTCTCTCTCTCTCTCTCTCTCTCTCTCTCTCTCTCTCTCTCTCGCTCCTCCCTTCTCTCTCTTTTTTCCCTTTCTATCTCAGTTCTTCACATTTCCACTCACTTTCCTCATCCACCATCACGTCCTAACTCATTCAACTACTTATTAACCATTGTTTATGAGCTCGTTCTCATTCGCATTCAGAGCCGCCCCTCGATGACTGAGGAGAGGGGGAGGAAGATAATAGTGCAGAGTTAAGAGGGGAAAAATGCCTCCAAGAGAGTGAGGTCTAAGACCAAGGGGAAGACAGATGATGGATGCATTGATAGGGTGACCCTGAACTGAGGGGAAATAGGACTTGAAACAGATTTCCTCCGGTCAATTGGGAAGCAGACAAGGCGTGCTCATCAAAAGAAAAGGGGGTCTTTAAGAGATTACGGTGAGATGAGTGGGATGTCAAGGGAGGAGTGGGTAGATGGCCTTTCATTTTCCCTTCTTGTTTGGTTGCTATTTCGGGATTGGAGGGGTTGTAGTTGTGATGATTTGAGAGTCCTTCTTTGCTATTAATGATGGATATTATTTTGTAATAATAGCTGTGGATTTCTCTGTTGTTTAGCTGAACAGCATTTTTTGAATTGTTGATGTTAAGGACATGATTGTATTGTGTTCGAGATTCTGTTTTCCTGAGTGGCCTTTTATTTTGGTGTCAGTAGAATCGCCGTTTTATTTCACTGAAGCAGCATTTTCACTTCATCATTGTTGCTTTAGTTGGAATCACTGCTTACCCTGGTGTTTTTTTAACGAAGTTGGAGGTCTGTGGTTTTTAAACTTGCAGTCCTTCTTGAATGAGTAAAAATCATAATTTTTTGAGTCACAGAAACTATTTTCTCCAGTTAAAATCTGCTTTCTATCAAATAAATTCTTTCTTGTAACGTGTTAAATTAGCATTTGATAGAGTTAGAGACGGAGACAAAGAGAGTGTGAGACGAGAAGGATAGATAATGAGAGGAGACAATGAGTGGAAAGAGGAAAAAATGCCATAAGGGAAACATGAGGAAAGGGAGAAAGGTAAAGACAGAAGGGAAGGAGGAATAAAGACAGAAAAGTTGTAAGAAAGATTTAGAATAATCAGGGAGAATTGGAAAGTATGAAGAGAGGTTAGGAGAGGAAGCGAGGAGAGACGAGGTTAGATAGTAAACAAAAGGCCTGGAAAAGCTAGAGTATATGAAGATAGCAAGGAAGGAAGAGGAAAGAGGAATACCAAATAAAGGAAGTCAGAACATGCTCTCTCTCTCTCTCTCTCTCTCTCTCTCTCTCTCTCTCTCTCTCTCTCTCTCTCTCTCTCTCTCTCTCTCTCTCTCTCTCTCTCTCTCTCTCTCTCTCTCTCTCTCTCTCTCTCTCTCTCTCTCTCTCTCTCTCTCTCTCTCTCTCTCTCTCTCTCTCTCTCTCTCTCTCTCTCTCTCTCTCTCTCTCTCTCTCGTTGCTCCCTAACTAGGACAACATCAAGTAAACTTTGCTTTCCTCAGGGTGCTCTGCCAGATCTCTTACATAATACACCACATTTTCGACGCCGTCGACCACATAGTCAACATGTTTTCGTGAAGTTATAAACACCGTAATATTGACGCTTTCGTGGACTGATAAGCTTCGGCCGTGGTATATTAGGAGAGTTGCTATAGGTTCGAACGCTTCAGGTTCAGCAAAACCTCTTCAAATTTGACGCTTATCAGATCCTTATTATTGTCGTCGAGTGTTGAACAAACTCCAGCTTTCTCGTGATTTCTTTGAATTAATAATTTATAATATTTGTGCAAACTTAATGGATAATAGAGTTTTTTAATATTGTGAGTTATAGGAATTATATGAACTGAGGTTATCTTCCAGTGGTTTGTACTGGTGGCCCTCGCTGGCTGTGTTGGGTGTAGTGGTGGTCCTCTGTTTTGTAACAATAAATATCTTCACAATTTGTTGCTTTACTCATTATTCATTTATTCTTATTGTGTCTCAATATATGTATTCTTCTCCCACACTTCTTTATACATTGATTAATTTATATATTTTTCCTCGCTTCATTTTCCAAAGGATAAAACATAAAACATAAATGAGGACCTACAATATCCTGTGGAATGATTTTGAGGTTCTAGGTTATGGGTCCCCATTCTCAACAGTGGTGGTAGTACCTTCCTTCTCTAATTATAAATGCATTTATATATTGTAAAGCATTTTCTCTCTCTCATTTGCTTGTCTAAAGTATTTTATTTTAAATTTAATTACACAAAAGGCCCTCAGTATTACGTGCAATACATAGCTTCTCCCCTACGTCCATCCCACTTAAGCTTTTATAGCTTTAAACTTAAGCTTTTAAGCTTTAAACTTAAGTTTTTCATAAAAGCTGTTTACCTCCCGTATCCGCAGTTGACTAGGGTGTAATTCCCCCATAATCAATCGCGCATTATATTCTTCTGAACCATTTCTCTTATTTTTGTCACTAGTGCCAATCTCTCGCTAATGACTGTCCTCTTTATATCTCGTTATTGACCACTAATGAAGTGGTGAATGGCTCGGAACCATTTTTAATATCCTTCAAGATCAGCATTACCTGGGAGTATGACTCGCCTCTATGCCACAGCTTCTCCTGGTGATGTCAGAGAATCAAAAGATATGTGATACCTTTTTGAGCTCCAGATGAAGAGGATTACAGGATTTAATGATCACTCCGAGTGTGTGTGTGTATTCACCTAGTTGTATTCACTTAGTTGTGCTTGCGGGGGGTGTTGAGCTCTGCTCTTTCGGCCCGCCTCTCAACTGTCAATCAACTGTTACTAACTACTAACTTTTTTTCACACACACACACACACACACACCAGGAAGCAGCCCGTAGCACCTGTCTAGCTCCCAGGTACCTATTTACTGCTAGGTAACAGAGGCATCAGGGTGAAAGAAACTTTTCCCATTTGACGATCCCGGGTCCTTAGATTTACGCATCCAGAGCGCTGTCCACTCAGCCACTAGGCGCCCACAAATGTGTGTGTGTGTGTGTGTGTGTGTGTGTGTGTGTGTGTGTGTGTGTGTGTGTGTGTGTGTGTGTGTGTGTGTGTGTGTGTGTGTGTGTGTATGTGAGCGCGCGTGTGCGTGTGCATGTGTGTCGACACCTATTTGTACTCACCTATTTGTATCTCAGGAGAAAGCATTAGCTCTTGGACCCCCGCCTCTCTAACCGTCATTGTTTAAAGCTAATGACTTCTGTCCTATTTCCTTATCACAAGTACTTTTAAAAATATGAATGGAGTTTGCTTCCACAACCTGCTCTTTTAGCTCATTCCATTTTCAAACTACTCTTACGCTAAATGAAAACTTTCTAGCATCTCTATGACTCATCTGAATCTCAAACTTCCACTCATCACCCCTAATTCTATTGGATTTCAATGTGAACATTTTTTCAATTTAACCCTGTAAATCCCCTTAAGTATTTTATGCATGTCTGTCATGTCTCCCATCTTTTTCCTTTTTACTAGCGTCGTCAGGTTCTGTTCATTCAATCGTTCTTCATATTCAATCCCTCGCAATTCTGGGACAAAAAGCCTTATCTCAAACTTCTGAAGCTTTTCTAGGTTCCTTGTGGAAACAACTCCACCCCAAAGACTCCACCCAAAAGACTCCACCCCCAAACACTCCACCTCCAAACACTCCACCCACAAACACTCCACCCCCAAACACTCCACCCCCAAACACTCCCCCAAACACTCCACCTCCAAACACTCCACCCACAAACACTCCACCCCCAAACACTCCACCCCAAAACACTCCACCCACAAACACTCCACCCCCAAACACTCCACCCCAAAACACTCCACCCCCAAACACTGCACCCCAAGACACTCCACCCACAAACACTCCACCCTCTTAGCATTCGTCCACCACAAAGTGAACCATGATGCAAATTTTGATAAAGAGTGGGCGAGAGAGGAGAGTCTTCCTTGAACCCTTCACACCATGTGGTCACCAGCGCTGGCTCTGAGGCTGCATTACTCTCCCACACTAACTCAACAGTGAAATGTATTTTTCGAAACACGAATCACAGTCCATTGCATCAGAGGGAAATTAATAATCGTCGTAATGGAAGGGAGCGAGGAAATGGTGAGGGGCGGAATTCGTAAAGAAGGAAAGAATAATGGGAGAGGAAGAAAAGAGGAAAAGGTGAAAGTGGCGGAGGAGATAAGTTGGACGAACGTGAGATGAAAATACATCACGTGAGCATCCCATAAAAAAACAAATCTGACCAATGTGAGACAGGGACATCCTTCAAGTCAGCAGATTTTCACAGTAAAGTGAAAATATAGAGGAAAAAAAGTCTTGTGGAGATGGACTTTAGTACGGTGCCCTGGTGTGTCAGGCCTGACAGCCTGGGTCAGTCCTTCACTGAGTGGCGGGGAGGTGGATATGGCTGTATATAACTTAATATTCTGGGGCATTGGGATGCTCAGTGACTCACCCACGGCTCATTTGCAGCCTTGCAGTGGCTGGCAGTGACGGATGAGGGTGCTGTGAGAACGAACTGCTGGGTTTTATGCCCCGACCAATGCTTGTATATTGCCGTGCCAGCGAGAGTGCTTGTGAATGTGTTTGTCTGTGTGTTTGTATACATACTTAGCAAGATTGTATACATACCGACCAACGCTTGTGAAATGCGTGCCAGCGAGAGTGCTTGTGATGTGTTTGCTGATGCTGACTGCCGTTTCCTGCACCCATACCTACGTTTTCAATCAAATGGCAAAGTTTAGTTCTGATATGTTTATTCCTGAATTCATGTAGGGAATCAGCTTTCGCTAATTCTTTCAATACTCTTTTTGCTCTCTATACTAGGCCCATCCACTTCCCCACTGTTCTAAACATTCCGTTTCCTCACTACTTTAATCCCTTCCATGTCCTTGCTTTTCTAATCTCTTTCATTTCCTCTCTACTCCTACTCCTTGCACTTCCTCCACACCCCCTTCCGCTTCCACTTTCTTTACATGTCATTTCCCCTTTATGGAGAAATCTGATTGTGTATTGTGCACTGTATATCGTGTTTGTTTTTAATTTCGTTAGTATTTGGAATTTATCACTGTTAAACATCGTGATATTTTCTGTTGCCCAGTTGAAGATCTTGTTGATATTGGTTAGTAGTTTTTTAATATCTTTTTCATAGTCAAATCAAATTAATTTCCTACTGTTTTCATTTTAGGCGTAGTCACTTCATTGTCGATTTTATCAAATACCTTTGCAAAATCTATGTATACAACATCTGTATTTTCTTGTTCTTCAAAGGTTTCTTTAAGAAACATTGTAAGTTTCCTTAAGTTGCATAGTGGTTAAGTAATTGCGAAAGGAATGATCTTTTTGCTCTAAATCCACGATGACCTGGATTATGAAGTTCATTGTTTTCCATAAAACTAGAAACATGACTCCTAATGACTCTCAAAAACTTTAATTGTGTGTGGCGTTCATGCCATTGGTCTATCGCATGTAACATTCGTGTCCCTAGCTGTTTTTATCACTTGTAAGCCTGGACGTGACTGCATATGCATATATTACTTAATATATTAGTGGTTCAAATAGCTTCGGCTATCACTTCCTTATGTCCGGTCGTGATGGTCAAGCGGATTAAGGCGTCCTGTAGTTACCAGTTGCGTTGCTCCTGGGAGTATGGGTTCGAGTCACTTCTGGGGTGTGAGTTTTCAGTCGCATATAGTCCTGGGGACCATTCAGGCTTGTTCGCATATATTACTTAACTTTATTACTGTGCGTCATACCAACCCCATACATCCCTCTATCACCCTCCATCACCCTCCTTCACTATCCATACGCTGGTCTTCTCACAAACCCTCTATTACCACAGCCGTTTTCCCCTCTATTCCCTCTCGTTCGTTCGTCCTCCTCCCCCCCCCCCTTCACCGTCCCTCGGTGCAGCTGGAACAGTAACAAGACTTAACAATTGTGCAATTATTTTTCTCTTGTTTACACCCTGGCTCCCTATCCCCTTACCAAGTGTTGCCAATCCTCAAAACAAAACAAAAAACAGGCAAGAACCGCTCCCTCAAATCCATTATATTACTCTCAATAAAAAGAAAGAGAACTCACACCCTTCCCCCTATGAATATTTTTACGAGTTAAGCAATTCAGACACAAAGGTAATTTAGCAATTCCAAGAAATGAGCAGAGCGGACGAAGAAGAAATAATGGAACAAAAAAATATACGAGAGGGGGTGAAGATAGGGAGATAAACATTGGGAATTGGCAACAGTGGTTGCCCCTAACACCTGTTGTCGAACAGCTGGCGTGAGCAGTAGGGGGGAGGGATATCGATGAGGGGGAATGGGGGAGGGAATGGAGAGAATGGGGAATGGGGGAGGGAATGGAGAGAATGGGGAATGGGAATTATCGGGGGAAAGCGCCAAGTCATTTTACGACTATATAGCACTTGGAAGGCATTAGGATAAGGGTTTGGGATGGGACGGGGGAAAGGAATGGTGCCCAACCACTTGGACGGTCGGGGATTGAACGCCAATCTGCATGAAGCGAGACCGGCTGTCTACCGTCCAATCCCAGAGGTTGGACAGGGGAGTGTGGGGAAGGAACGGGGAGGGAAGGACGAATTGGGACTGGGAAATAAATAGAAATAGAATGTAGTAGGGGAGAAGAACGAGTAGGATGGTAGCGAGAAGTTGGGTAAATCTTACTGAGAAGCAAGAGGAAGGAAGGAGAAAGAGAGTTGAGAGGAACAGAATAGAGAACATTTTTAAAGAATAACAAGCAGGCGAGATAGATAGAGGAAACAGAGTAGGGAGAAAATAGCAAGAAGAAGCAAAAGTAGGAGGAATAGGGAAATAGTTGCACATCAGAGGAAGGAGAAAGGGACGTTTAGATACAAAATAAGGAATAAAATAAAATAAACAGAATAGGGCAGAATAGTAAGGGAAGAATAGGGATGACAACAATAGGCTCGTGGGGTCGTAGAGGGGGGGGGGTGGATGGGTATTGGAGGAGAATGTTGGTTGGGGATGAATGGAAAGAATCAAACCAGATTTTCCAGCTTTGTTTGGTGGGCTTATCCTCCAGGGTCCCGCCTCCAGTTCACAGTATCAGTCTATTGAGCAGTAATGGGATCCGATGTTGTTGCTCCGTGTTCCGGTAACATTTTGAGAACCTGACGGCTAAGGGGATAGCGCTCGGCATTCGTAGTCCTAAAGTTCCGGGTCCGATCCCCGGCGGAGGCGGAAACAAACAGGCAGAGTTTTTTTCACTCTGATGCGCCTGTTCACCTAGCAGTTGGTGGACCCCTTTATCTGATTACATAGGTCACTGGATGGTGCTTTGACACATTAATATTTTTATGTGTGTGTGTATATATATATACACCGGGGTTTAACCTGGATAAATATGCTAATAGACTAACAAGTGTAGTTAAGATAGCTGTCTCTAGATGGCGTGAGGGTCGTATAGTGTTTACATTTCTCATTGGATAGACAAGATTGTCAGTCAACTCACGTCCGTCATAAGGAACGAATCCTCAGTTATTTATTTGTGTTATAGACCGCGGACCGCTTCACAGGCAGTTATGACAGGCTTCGTGGACGCCTAATCACCATGAATCAAGCAAAGTCACAGTCGTTCACTGAACAGATTAGACGTAAGTAGTGTACAGTTGGCTAGAATGTTGACTAGTATATATATATATTGTAACACTCCTAATTCCAGGATCGAGGATCCTAGAATTAGGAGTAGAATTAGAGATCCCACGATCAATTCCCGTGCGCGACAGCAATGGTTGGGCAAGTTTCCTTTCACCTAATGCATCTGTTCATCAACCAGTAAATATGCCTTTGTGAGTTAGGCAATTTTTGCGGGGTGGCATCCTGGGAAGGGTCAGTAGTTTGACCATGGAGCGGGGACCTCGAAACACGTACATAACGACCAGGCTTTCCGTCCCCAACTAAACGAATTTAATTAGTCATCAATTATACACTGGCATTTATTAACTCATTAATGAATTATACATATTGCAGATCATTATTATGAAAGGTCATATATAATTCAGAGCGCCGGTGATGTATATGTATTTCGTTAAACTGTATGATTTATTAACAAGACGGCCTAAGCCTTAAGGTATCGTTAACGATTATACCATCATTCAAAACCAATCGTGCGGCCCTTAGACGCAAGGTAACTGCTAGTTTATGAAGTCTAAAAACTATCACTCAGTACACACAGAAATCACAATAGCGTGATGCATCAATGAACAAATCCACAAGGGCCGTGACGAGGATTCGAACCTACGTCCGAGATCATCCCAGACGCTGCAGGTTCGAATCCTCGTCACGGCCCTTGTGGATTTGTTCACTATCATCCAGCTCTAACTTGAAGTTGCTTTCCAGATGTGGCAAGTGAAATTAAGTAATGTGAAAGAAGTAGACCAATATACGATCAAAACAAATCATTATTGCCTGTCAGAATTGCTTAAAATATTACTGGAGAATCAATCCACTGTGCAGTTACTCTGTGAATAGCCTTGTTTCCTGCGAATCGCCACATTCACAGTGAAATTCCGGTTTGCTAGGTGTAAGGCTTCATCCAGTAAGTACCCTCGTACTGGTACCATAATGGTACCTTGGTACCGTGAGTACCCTCGACTTTCATCGTCATTGACAAGCCTTGGTGCCCACATATCTTACTCGCTGAGAGGATGGCTGTTTCCTGTGGAATTTTTTTTTTAACTTTTAGTCAGAGCTTTGCTTGACACGCACTCCTAGAGCCATGCTTGACACGCACTCCTAGAGCCATGCTTGACACGCACTCCTAGAGCCATGCTTGACACATTTTACCTCGCCTCACCCACTAACAGCTAAGCCTCAGTAATCCTTACCACTG